CTCCAATCTCTGGTGCCGAGGTCACCGAGGTGGTTAAAATGCTCCTCGGTGGCAGGGCGCTGAGGTTGGATGAAATTCGCCCTGAGTTCCTTAAGGCTCTGGATGTTGTGGGGTTGCATTGGTTGACACGACTCTACAATACCACGTGGACATCGGGGGCCGTTCCCCTGGATTGGCAGACTGGGGTGATGGTCCCCCTATTCAAAAAGGCAGAGCACAGAGTGTGTTCCAACTATAGTAGGATCACACTTCTGAGCCTCCCTGGTAAGGTCTATTCGGGGGTACTGGAGAGGAGGGTCCGTCGGACAGTCGAATCTCGGATTCAGGAAGAGCAGTGTAGTTTTCGTACTGGTCATGGAACAGCGGACCAGCTCTACACCCTTAGCAGGGTCTTAGAGGCTGCATGGGATGGGAGTTCGCCCAACCAGTCTACATGTGTTTTGTGGACTTAGAGAAGGTGTTCGACCGTGTCCCTCAGGGACTCCTGTGGGGGGTACTCCACGAGTATGGGGTACCAGGCCCGTTAATACGGGCTGTTAGGTCCCTGTATGACCGGTGCCAGAGCTTGGTCCGCATTGCCGGTAGTAAGTTGGACTCATTTCAGGTGAGAGTTGGACTCCACCAATGTTGCCCTTTGTCACTGATTCTGTTCATAACTTTTATGGTCAGAATTTATAGGCGCAGCCGAGGTGTTGAGGGGATCCTTTTTGGTGACCTTAGGATCACATCTTTGCTTTTTGCTGATGATGTGGTCCTATTGGCTTCCAGATTGTGATCTCCAGCTCTCGCTGGAGCGGTTCACAGCCGAGTGTGAAGCGGCCGGAATGAGGATCAGTGCCTCCAAATCCGAGACCATGGTCTTGAGCTGGAAACTGGTAGCGTGCTGCCTCGGGTCGAGGAGGAGGTCCTGCCCCAAGTGGAGGACATTAAGGATCTTGGGGTCTTGTTCACGAATGAGGGAAGAATAGAGCGGGAGATCGACAGGCGGATTGTTGCTGCCTCTGCTGTGATGCGGGCGCTGTACTGGTCTGTCGTAGCGAAGCGGGAGCTGAGCCAGGAGGCAAAGCTCTCGGTTTATCAGTCGGTCTATGTTCCTACCCTCATCTATAGTCACGAACTTTGTGACCATAGATGAGTGACCGAAAGAACGAGATCGCGGATACAAGCGGCCGAAATTACTTTCCTTCGCAGGGTGTCTGGGCTCTCTCTTAGACATAGGGTGAGAAGCTCAGTCATCCAGGAGGGACTCAGAGTAGAGGCGCTGCGCCTCCATGTTGAGAGGAGCCAGTTGTGGTGGCTCGGGCTTCTGGTTAGGATGCCTGCTGGACGCCTCCCTGGTGAGGTGTTCCAGGCACGTCCCACTGGGAGGAGACCCAGAGGAAGACCCAGGACACGCTGGAGGGACTATGTTTCTCAGCTGGCCTGGGAACACCTTGGGATTCCCCCGGACGAGCTGGTCCAAGTGGCTGGGGAGAGGGAAGTCTGGGTCTCTCTGCTTAGGCTGCTGTCCCCGCGACCCGATCCCAGATAAGAGGAAGAAAACGGACGGACGAACGGCCGGAATCTGAACAGTTCTGTAGTACTAGTTTTTATGAAATTCAGGATAAACTATTTACAGTATTTTTATGTTTACCTGAATATGGTCTTTTCATTTGTCCTGATGTGTAAAAATAATAGTAAATAATAAAATTCACAGTATATATATTTTTTTATTTTATAATGCCACCTCCACTGGCCATAAAGGTTCCTGAAAAGGCCCACGGACTACCAGTTGATAATCACAGTTGTAGCTTGTTTTGTGGCTCTGGACACATTTTATTAGTGAAACAAGGAGCAGAAATGGCTCCTTTGATCATAAAGGTTGCAGACCCCGTCCTTTGTTGAACAATTTCTGAGTTATAAACATTTTTGCATGTCCTGACACCCCCCTTTGAAAGGAGCCCCCTCTTCAAATATGGGGTCTATCGTAAAACCCTTGGCTGGCAC